CAAGACAAGATTCCAAGAAGGGTGGTCGTTGGTGGACAAACGCCCCCCCCACCCCCCTCCGGATAGGCCCTACACCCTTCATAGGGGGTAGGGGATTTCAATCCTCAGAAGAAGCCACCAAGGAGGAGGCAACAGTACAGGAACCAGAACAAGAGTCCCCAGCGTCAGTTCCTCTTCCTTCCAAATGGACAGGCTGACACCAGGTATTATCTTTTGAGGAGACCCTGACACACATTGTCCCAGGACCCTAAGGATCAAGCCTGAGTGGAATTAGTGTGCCACTGCCTTCATTGCCATTGAGACAATGAACAATCAGGCACCACCAAAACACCGCCCTGACAAGCCGAAGCTCAAGATATCGGTCTCTGATCCCAAAGCACAAGAATACGATGCATTGACTCAGTCGAGTACAAGCAAAGTCATCCACTCTATGACAAGTCGACTCGATCCTATGAGAACATTCTCAAGACTGGTGCAAACACCATCCAGGTGACATACTGTACCAACGCCATGAAGTCCAAGCTCAGAGGTCTAGGAGACTATGAGGATGCAGTCAAGCTCGATCCCATTGAGATGCTCAAGAGGATCCGATTGATAGTAATGCAAGGCTCAAGCCAAAGAGTTCCCATTACTACAATACATCAAGACCATCCAACGTGGTCTGTTCCCAAAGCAAGAGTATCATGACAAACTTGACTACTTACTTGAGGAAGGTCGACAGCGACGTTGATCAAGTCTATGATCTAGTCGGAATTGCGTTCATTGATGTTAGAACTCTGAACTCAGACGACTACAAGGCCGCATCTGGACAAGAAGCCAAAGACAAGGTGTTACTTGCGGGACGAGAAAGGTTGAAGGCAACCGTGGCCTACCATGGACTACAAGAAGGAAGATATGGAGATTACCAGAAGACCGTTGAGGCAGCCTATGCCATGAACGGTACCATCCAGTTCCCTGATACCCTTGATCATCTTAGAGAGACGCTGTCCAATGACAGATTCAAACCCAGCAAGGAATGGTTGGACCAACGGAAGGCAAATGACCGGAAGCCATATTCTAATCCCAAGACACCTCCTTTTTGATCCAAAGAAGATTGGAAGAAAGGGCTCCCAGCTGCTGTCTTCTACAAGCAGTCCCAGCCAGGCGAAGCCTGCTACTGTTGTGGAAGCCCAAATCACAAGCTTCCGCAGTGCAAGGTGAAGTTCCCCAAGCCTGAATGGGGCATCAACAAGTTCAATTGGCATGAAGAAGTCCTTCATGTCACAGTATCACCAACACCAGATGCAGGTACTCCAAAGGAGTACCTACCACAGTGGTGACGGCCACAGCTCCAGCTGGAGACTCTTCGAGCAGGAGTGGATTCAATGGAGTCCCTCCACCTCCTACGAGTCAGTCGAACTTTCAGCAATTCCCCATGTCAAGCCAAAGCCTCCCAGGCCAGCGCGGCAGGGTCATTGCAGTTCACCTTCCAGCACCATCAAGACGATGAGTCCCGCCCTTGATGGGCAGAGATTATTCCACCTCCGACAGTGAGCCGGAAGCTTCCATCGACTGGGGAGCATTCGCTACCGATTTCCTTGGAGGCATCCCGCTTTATGCAGAGGAGTGGAGAAACGATGAGACATCATCAGAAAAAAGCTATCACTCCGGCTACGCCCATGATCAGCTTGCCGAGGGAGGTCCTGACGGGTTAAGCATCGGATCCGACATTATCCTCCAGCGGTACATTGATACACATAATATAATAGTCAGTCGTTCTGCCCACCCTGACACCGTCTTCACCACAGATCCCTTCGAAGGAGTCATCCTTCGGAATGGCCAAGACGATTATCAGAGCTGCTGTTCCACTACAGCTCGGATACACAGAATGAATTTCGCTGCTAGTACCGTGGACCCAGCCGACGTCAACGGGAGAATCAGCGAGGCAACTGTTATGAAGATTTCCAAGACCAAGACTTCACTATCCGTCGAAGAACAGAACCATCAAGTTGCGTTTGAGTTCCCAGGAGTGGCAGATGCCGAACTCACAGGAGTGGCAGAGCCAAATCTTGCAGGAGTGTCGGTCAAGAACCTCATTCCTGATGGAGCCAACACAGTGTACCTCGACAGTGGCAGTTCAATCAGAACTGTCATGAACCAGGACATGATTGTCCGCCAGCGGCTATCTCCCAGACCAATCGAGATGGCCACAAACGTTGGAAGCACCAAGCTTACCCAAGAAGGCGACACCCTTACGGAAATGGTTATGCCAATCCAGGAGGCATCGCCAACATCAACGCTTTGTCCCTTGTTGTGGATGACTGCGCCAGGCCAAGGATGATCCAGTTCCTCATGGACTCCAGAGGTGACGACGCCATCTATCACTACCGCCCAACTGGATCCATACCAGATATGGCAGGACCGCCAAAGGTCTGTATGGCGTGTTGATTGAGCAAGACCTGCTGGATCACATGGCCCAACTCAACCAGTTGTCACCGGAGTTCCAGAATTTGGTTCAGACGGTAGAGGGCAACCTCGAAGGCTTTACCAAGAAGCAAGCCAAGGGTGCATTTCTCACAAGAAATCTGTACCACAACCTCCAGCGTCTGCCTTTGGAGGGCTACCGCAACATGATCAGGACTGGACAAATTAGAGACTGTCCTGTCAAGCTGGAGGACATCGATCGTGCCGAATTAATTTTTGGCAGCGACATGCGCAAGGCCAAGGGCTCTACTACACACAGACGCCCACCACCAGTGACCGACAGTATTCATACTGTTCCGGATGAGCTGGTGGCCACCACACAGGTTCTTGACCGGATGCATGGATGTGTTTTATGTCTGTGAGATTGCTTTTCTAGCATTCACCGACTTGCAAATCCGACACCGCGAATCTGCCTACCTGACCAACAGGAAGGGAAAATCATTCTATGCCGCCATTGACAAGATTTTGATCGGTTATGGGAATAATGACTTCAAGAGTGATAGTGGCTTGATGGGTCTCGAAAGCCGCTTGGTAGGTGTCTTGATGGCTTTTGTGGCACTGATACGACCTTCTGTGAGGGCTGTGCGATGGTCTTCAATTCTGAAGGGATGACGTGGGGGCTCAATGAAGGGGGTGGCAGGGTCGTGGAGGGGGCTAGGGGGGATGGGAATTAAGGGCAGGGGGGCAAGAAGGGATCGGGTAATTTCCGAAGTAATTTCGCGACTGGCAATGTAGCGGAGGGGGGCTTCCGTAACTATAATGGAGCAGAGAAAAACCTTCCTACAGTACTAGCTATAGATAGATCAATCTCTCTACGTACGGTAGCTACGGGTGGAGTGCTCGTTCTCGTCCTCGTCATCAACTGGGTCCTGTTGACGACTTGCATGTTATCATCCTCCTCCCATCACAGATATTGGTTTTCCAGTGTGGCTTACTCTGGAAGCGCGAAAGTCGCAGTTCGGTATTGCTTGAGGGCAAAAAGGGCTTCATTTCGATGTTCAGTCACTCGTTTCCCTTAGCGTTAAGAGGGACTTTCCCTCCTGGCTGTCTCCGATCATAATTATTTCTAGCTATTATAATAGACAATGGCGTCGAACGGCGACAGTAGCAGCCGTGGACGCACCCGGAGAAAGCAAAGTGCTCTCTACGGCAGCTACTCCTGTTGAAGAAGTCTCCACGTGACAGGCTCCTCTTGTTTGGATAGGCTGGAAGCAGCGGCAGCGAGCTTCCGTACGACGGATCGATTGGTGACTGCTTCCAGGGAGCGAACATGATGATCGCATCCTCTTCCTCCTCTTCACAATGGCACGCCTCGACAATCAAATGGCACTATACTTCCACGCAGCCTCTTTTCACGGAGCGGAAGCCTGAGAGTAATGATTGGGTGCTACGGTACAGTATGGATTATCTACTCGTCTTCAACCCAAGAACGGAGAGATATCTTTTGTACGGTATCTGCAGGCTCGATAAGAACAATTTGATCCTCTTCCTTTGACTTCTTTGGGTTAACGGATGGGCTCTTCCGTTGACTGCGACAATGGCCCCTGACAATCTACCACCACTAGTCGAATGAATCAAGGAACGAAGTGCTACTACGATGGATGGAGTATCTGCTCTTCAATCTTTGAACCTACTACAGCGCAAGTGCAAGACGGTACTACAGTATCCAACTCAACATCTTGTACGAATTTATTCAATCCTTTGTGGAACCGGCAGAACTGAACAGTATTCTGGCTACCGGTAAGGTACAGCTGTTCCAGATGACGCATTGGCACGACGGCCAACTGGATATAATAGAGACGAGACCAGACCTCACACACAGACCACGGCAACAAGCGTCAAAGTCTACACAAAAAAAGTACTCATACTCAACCAATTTTTGCTGCTGATTCAACTGTCTCCTACACTAGCTAGCTAGCTACTAACAGTGGGCGGTGACAAAAAACCAAGCTCTGATACCAACACACCAGCTGTGATCTATCGCTGTGTCCTCCATGCATGCCCATGAATGGTTGTTTTGCGGAAAATGAATTTGTGCGGAAAAATGGAGCAGTCAAGCTGGTCTGGAGCGGTCATGGAGCTGCCTTAATTTATTTATGGCTTAGTTTTCCTTTCCACAATTCAGCATTTGGTACTTAATCATTAATATGCACCACCCACGAACCATCAGAAGTCACTATTTTTAAACCGGCAGGCAACAGTTCGTACTGTATGTTCGTATTTATCGCAAGCTTACTTATTGATCTTTGAATTTTCAATGACCTGTGTTTCGAAAAAAGCAATAAGATCGTACGAAGTTCATTTATTGCACACAATCCCGATGAAAAAAATTCTTTCAAGTTGTTGAAAGTGACCCGATCGAGGTTAACATGTCGACTTTGAGGGCCGCAAATTGCCGCTATCATCCCGCCAAAACACGTGGTGATGATGAATCGAATCGAATCAATTCTCTCTAAGCCAAAGTAACCATTCAATTTTTTGAGCCCACGATTCGAAGTGTGTTGGTGAATGAATCTCTAGCTAGCCTAACTAACTAACCATAGCGCTACTAGTATTCACACAATACATCAGTGGTGGCGCAAGAGTGCCATTCAACTAATCAACTGTCGCCCTTCCCAAAAGCACCAGCATGCGGGGATCAACAAAGAATGAGACCACCAAGGAATCTGAAAATAGCAACGATGAGGTAGACCTTCTGAACATAGTGGAGATGCGGATAAGAGGTGATGCATCAGACTTTGAGATTAAAGAGCAAACGGTCCATCGGCCAGGAAATTCCATGCAAGCTTGCCGTGTACCGCCACCACGGCCACCACAACACTCTCAAGCAGCTTCTATCCCACCTCCTCCTTCCGTCCACTCCACTGATTCCAAGGATAGCTTCGACATCTTTAGTCTCGTGGCCGCAAGGGCCGCCCAACCATCCTTGCCTGATGCCGACAATCTTTGCGATCAGGGTCAAAATACACTGGAGCTCGCTGGAATAAAAGATACAAGAGCAGTTGTAGGGGAAAACTCATCCACAACACTGCTTTTGTTACAATCTGACTTCACCTTTAGACCTACTTCTACTGCATCCAACGGATCAACAACAAGTCGCCAAGGATCATTTGCTACTGGTGTGCCTGATAACATCACTAGCACCGAGCCATTGCCAACATTAACCGCACCATCATTGTCTCGAGCAAGAAGGGTCTCAGCCGTCTCAGTATCGGAACCTGGGGCCCACGCTGTGGATGGGATTACGCTATTGTTTGATCGCCCAAGAAGTAGGCCATCAACTGGAGGGACACCTGACATGGAAGAGCTGGGATTGGAATTGGTGCCTACATCTCAAAATGAAACTGATGGCAATGGTGGTCTCATTCATGCTGACCTAGTTGACGACTCAGAAATTGGGGAGATTCCAACTGCAGAGCCAATGACAACAAGGGCAAAAAGACTATGGAAGAAGCAACTATGTCTCGGATTCTCCCGACAAGCCATTGTTGCCATCACCATTGTTTCAATCCTCCTTTTGGCATTTCTTCTTGCTCGAAAATCAAGCAATCAAACTCCGTCAGCAAAGCAGCAAAATGGAGCGATTCCAATACCAGAATATCCGGGGACAACAGCTTCAATCACACAAGCACCAACATCGCTATGGGAAAGACTAAATCTACCTGAATACACCCTCAGGGTTATGGAGAATCCTAGGTCTCCACAGACCAAGGCATATCAATGGCTAAGCAACAATATCAACAAATCCAACAATACACAACATCTCCCGGTATGGAGACTAAAGCAAAGGTTTGCACTCGCCACATTTTATTATTCAACACGGGGGGACTACTGGGTAAAAAATCAAGGCTGGCTGGATTGGGACACCAATGAGTGCAGCTGGGAGCAGCTTCAATGGTTGACAGGAGAGGCAGCTTGTGCTGACAATGGGAAACTCCTATCATTGAGATTTGGGTATGCCAACAACTATGCCAACAACTTGGATGGAACCATACCACCAGAAATAGCTCTGCTTCATGATAGCTTGGAAACACTTTCAATATTTCAGAACCCTCAGCTCAAAGGAAATATACCAATGGAGGTTGGACTGATGACAAGGCTGACGCTCTTGTTGTTTAGCACAACGAGCTTGTCTGGCACACTCCCAACAGAACTGGGTCAGCTAGAAAGCTTGGAGGGTCTTTCAATCTCAGGTAGGGAGCTTGATGGAACTTTACCTACTCAACTGGGCAACCTAAGGAAACTGACATCTCTGGGATTTAGTAGAGCGAACTTTTCTGGTATGCAAGGGAACGGACAAATCATTGCAGAAATTCCACAGCTTGACTTTTTTAAACTCACTTGATATTTTCTGCCTACGCAGGATCCATCCCCACCGAAGTTCTTCGATTGTCAAACCTGAAGAGCTTGAGTCTCTTAGAGTGCCCTTTGTTGGATACAGCATCTTTTCTCCCTGAGGTAGTTGGAAACCTGCACAGTTTGAACAGTGTAAATCTAGGCTATCGAAAAACTGGGGGGTTCACATCAATTCCATGTAAGTGCCAGTAGTTTGGTTTCTTTGCGTTCGCCTTTTTGTTGCTGAACATTTTTGAAATTTTGCTTTGACAGCTGAAATTGGGAAGCTGACCAACTTGGCAAGCCTGATTTTGAAAGACTTCCAACTTAATGGCCCCCTGCCAAGTGAGCTTGCAATGTTGACAAATTTAGTAAGTCATGAATGAGCCTTGTGTTGTAATTGTGCATGTATGCACTAAGGAACCTTTTTTTTTGCAGAATTACTTGGACTTGCAAAGGAACTCCATCACTGGCACTCTACCACAAGAGTTATCCAAGATGTCCCGTGAGTTGCCACATCATACCAAATGTACAGAATCCATCTCATGCTCACGCTTTTCCATCTGTCTGCTCTACTTGAAGAGCTGGAAATAGTGAACATTGGTTCCAACCAATTAGAAGGCAGACCGCTGGAACAAGGCGTTCTCCACCAACTCACTCAGCTACAGGAGTTGCACATCAATGACAACCTTTTCTCAGGCTGTATTGCAACAGAAATTGGTTCGATGAGTAGTCTTGAGAAGCTTGAACTGCAAAATACAAACCTATCTGGGACCCTTCCCACGGAACTACTTTTGTTGGACAACTTGACCAGCCTGGTAGTCATGAACACATCCTTGACAGGCAGTATCCCTGATGGATTATGTGGTGCCATACTCTCGCCACATGAAAGGAAGTATTTTGGTGGGAATTCCTATTCGGTTCCAACAACCAACCTGTCAGCCTGCTATGGAACTAGTCTGTGTGGCTGTACTTGTGATCCTTGCCCCAAGTAACTATAGTAACTGGCTGGTCTGAGATATCCTTTCCTGCTAATAATAGACTCCTGTGCCTAGCTAGAGCTAGATAGTAGGTCATCAGGGACTTGACTGCTTTGACGACTTGCATGCATGAATGTTAACGTCCTCGTTATTTGCTGTCCAATGCGCACCCCCTTCCGTTCCAGGCACATAAGATCCGCCTGGAGGCAATCGAATTAGTTAGTACTGAAACCACGTAGAACTCACATGCGTGGCATGCATGCAGAGCTGCTTCCGGCAAATTTCTGGCTGAGAAGAGGTCCACTGCGCGCACAAAATTGCCTCAATTGGTCCTAGCTAGGTTCATTCATTATTTGCCTTGAATGGATGGATGCGGAAGTGGTGTGCACTATAGTCAAGTCAAGGCACGGTCAAGTCAAAGCACGGTCAAGTCAAAGCACGGTCAAGCCAAGCCAAGTCAAGTGAAGATACTTCAGTCAGTTCTGTCCTCACCATTGCCCACAACACTTGAGTTGGCTACCGGTAGGTTGTAAACAACTTCCGATCAAGTGATTGAGTGCAGCACCATGACGACAACTATTATGAAGCAACCAGACAGTCGCAGCCGTTCATCGTCGTTTGCCGACCTGGACGAAGTACAAGCATCGGGTATTTTGGAAGACATTGTCCGCGAAAACAATGTCCTGTTGGGCGGGTCTTCCATTGGCAAGGGCTTTAAAAAGGCGGCCCGTGCCTACTTGAAGCAACAGCAATTGGAAGTCGTAGAAGACGCCTTTTACGTGGTGGACTTGGGCGTCTTGGTGAGTCAAGTCTATCAATGGCGCAAGTACTTTTCCCGCGTGGAACCCTTTTATGCCGTCAAGTGCAATCCCGATCCCGTCATGGTCAAGACACTGGCGTTGTTGGGCTGCAACTTTGACTGTGCGTCGCAACAAGAGATTGCCATTGTCCAGCAATGCGCCAAGGAATTGCACATGCGACCCGAAATCATTTACGCCAATCCCTGCAAAGCCCGCAAACATTTGCAGTATGCGGTACAGCACGGCGTCACGCTAGTGACATTGGACAATGTTCAAGAAGTTCACAAGTGTGCTGCTGTCAGTCACAAAATTGAACTGGTTGTGCGCATTGTCACGGACGATCGCGGTGCCCAGTGTCGGTTGAGCAGCAAATACGGAGCGCCCCAAGCGCGATGGCGCAATTTGTTGCAAGCGGCCGCTCAGGCGGGGTTGAAAGTCAGAGGTGTCAGTTTTCACGTGGGCAGTGGCTGTCGCGATGCGTCCCGCTATTTTGCCGCCTTGGAGGATGCCCGGGCCCTTTTTGATTTGGCCGCCACCGAATTTGGCATGCAATTCGATTTGCTCGATATCGGGGGTGGGTTTCCAGGAGAAACCCACTCGACGTGGAATCCAGAAGTTCTTGACGAACATGACGACGATGACGATGACTGCGACAAGGAAGGACTAGAACCACAGCAACAACAAGACAATGACGACAAGAACAGCACAACGGAAAATGCACCCTACATGTTTTTCAATGAAATTGCCGAAACGGTGGCCCCCATGATTGATGCGCTCTTTCCATCTCATGTCCGAGTCATTGCCGAACCGGGACGCTACTTTACAGCCGCCGCCGCCACACTTGTTACCAGTGTCATTGGAGCCCGCAGCAATGAAATTGATCACCAACAATTCACACCCGAACCCGTCCCGGATGTGCAAACATCCCACAAAATATTTGAACGCTCTCGCGAAGATGAACACGCCCTCGTCAGGAGACGACGCAACAAATCCGTCGACACGGCCGATAGCGTGGAAGATGGCAAAGTCTGGGAGACTCTTACGGAAGAACTCAATCACTACGCTCAAGTCTTTACCATGCAAAACTTGGTCACACAAGAAACCGATGCCTACAATGACGGATTGGATCTCTATCATGAAGACTTTGATACCGCCGCCGATTTACTTGGCGTCCCCGACAAGATTCAAATGCGATCTGTAGTCCACAGTGTGGAAGGAATGAACAAGGCTATTGCCTTGGATACACAGGGAGAAGAAACCATCATTTCCTTGGCGGCAGCAGGAGAAGCGGCCGTCAGTGGAATGGTCTTGCAAGCCGTGGCCGATTCGGCACCCCTGCAAGATGACTATGCCTACTATGTCAATGATGGGGTCTACGGAGCCTTTAACAATCTCATGTTTGATCATGCCACGGTGCGTCCTCGGGTTCTGCGGCTCTACAACAACAACAACAACAACAGTTCCACCAATGACACTACTGCTGTTACCAGTCCCAGCAATAGTGACACGGAAAAAGAAAAAGAAGACCGGGACCTCTACGCTTCCACTGTCTTTGGACCCACTTGTGATTCCATTGATGTAATCGCCCGCAGTGTACTGCTCCCACGCCTCAAGATTGGTGACTGGCTCTACTTTCAAAACATGGGAAGTTATACCATGGCAGCTGCTTCGTCCTTTAATGGATTTGAACCAACGGAAAAAATGTACGTTTGCTCGGTGCAACCAGAGTACTTTGAAGAGTTGATTGCGGGACCGGAACAACAACCACAGCAAGTGGAGGTGGCGGCAACCAAGAAGGGAAACGACAACCTGACGGAAGCTGAAGTGGTCCAGGAAGAAGAGAAGAAAGAGGAAGAGTTGCTTGTTGTGCGATGATGTGCTGTGTTCTTTCGATGTATGGCGGTGTTTGTCTGTGTGGCCAACATGTATGTGGCATCTTCTCTCCCTCAGTCGCTAGCTAGAGCTGAAAGACAACCATGACAAAAGCCATTGCCGTGGCGTGGACTGTTTATGTGCGATCCTTGCTACAGCGGCAATCTACATTTGAGCTAACTCTGTGTCTGTAAAAGATTGTTAATGTGATAGTATTCGATCTCGACAATGATGTAGGTAACCCTGCCCGACGTCACAAACAGCTGTAGGAACGACCACAGAAAGGTGTGGAAGCATCGTCGTCTGGTGGCGGAGGATGCAGCAATGACACGGATTATCACAGTGACTTGAAGAAAAAGGGTCTATGTCTTTAAATTTGAAGATGTCAAGTATGAAATATCTTGTTGTAGCCATGCCATGGACACCACACAGCATTGCCAAAAGATCCGGAAAAATTGGTCGAGTTGGGTCCGGTAGACCCGGGTACGAGTGTGAACAAAGCAACAATATGCATGTAGGCAACACATCACCAAAAACGCCGCCACCTTGCCCTCGTAGCTGGACCTCGATAGCTAGAGGCTAGAGGAGAAGAACTCTTGGCGCACGGTCCGGTATGTGCAGACAACGCTGGATATTATGGAGAAGATCAGGAGCATTGTGGCACCGACCGATCGTGGATTGACGTTTTTGTGCGTGCGAATCTTGAGGTAACACGATGCGGGGATGATGAATCCAATGATGATAGCCATGGAAGATCCGGCAATACTCCACACAACACCCACACCTGGCACCCCCACTGCCATGATGAAGGACATGACCAGGATAAGGAGAGTGGATGCTACATGCACACGTCTGTCTCGTGCTCCCTCCAGTGTGGGATCGACGGGGGGCAGTGGCGTAGTGGTGATATTACCCAAAGTGTCGTAGTTTGTCGTTTCGGGTGTTAAATCCTCCTCGGAGTTGGCGGTCGAGACGGTACCGTCTCCAGATTTGGCTCCGTCTGCGGCGGGTGGCAGGATTTGAGCCCGGGTATTGGCAATGGCTTCCAGTAGGAGCGGGCACTCTTCATCGAACGTGACACCGTTGGCAACGTGATGTTTGGTCCCCTTCATCATGGCTCGACTGTCCTGTTCCGATGCTTCTTTCCATTCCTTGATTTGCGTGGGTAGCGAAAGAATGGCAGCCCGACACGGCAGGAACACCAGTGGCATTCCAAAGAGAATCGTGACTCCATAGCCAATCCTTCCCAGGAGAATGACTTTGACAGACAGTGGAAAGTTGAGAAGTATATTGTCGCGTGTGTCCGTGTAGGAGTACAGATAGCCAAAGACTCCGACCGTGAAGAAGAGTCTGTACGATGAAAGATAGATGGATAAGAGTGTTTCCAAAAGTGAGTCCAACCAAGCATAAAAGTAAGTCATGGCCTCCCTTTGCATGACAAGATGTAACTAAACTTACAAAAAGCACAGGCCAATGGTTCCATCCAGAACAAACTTGACCCGATCTCGCGTGGGATTGAAGAGGGCGCTGTGGACGGTCAATACATTGTAGATACTGAAAAAGCTCAATACGACAATGGGGAACGCGTAGAGGATTCCATCTCGATCTCCCACCCAGACCACATTGGCAGAAAACAATCCCGGTGATTGCCAGTTGCGTTGCAGGGCCTGTTGCGTGACCCCCAGCATGAGGATCACCGCGGACGCAAATCCGACGTAGCAAGTATGACGGAGGGCATGTAGATCCGTCTGCAAGAGGAGTGGTAAATTCAAGACCAAAATCAGTATCAAGAGATAATGTGAGGCGTTTTCTTCTTGTTGCTCTTGTGCATCGGTAGTGTCATTGGTACTGATAGTACTACTGACAACTTCCAGGAACTTGTCCGTCCAACTGGTGGGTGCCAATGTGAGCAACACCGGTGTCCAAATATCCTTGAGCAGTACCATGTAGGCGACGATTACCAAAAAGAGCAGTAGAAAGAGCAAGACAGTAGCGCCCAATTCGGCCAAAGGTCCAAACGCATTGCGCATGACATCGCCATACGATCGTCCTCCGGTCCGTCGGGCACAGGAACACAAAATGTACATGGCAAAATTGGTAATGAGCGCCGCAAATACCATGAGCAAAAACGACGGAATCAAGCCGGCACGGGAAAATGCCATTGGTAAACTCAAGACACCCCCGCCACAGACGGTCGCCACCAAATTGAAAATGGCAATGGCCGGAGACGATCGTCGCGATTCGCAATCATGGGCGGGAACGAGGAGTTCCAAGGAAGGATGACGCCGCAAAAGACTTCGTTGACTGGGCCAAAAGGAATCCGTTCGTTGTTTCAGACGCTGAAAAGCGTGAAATGCTCGAGTGGGAGTGCCGGGAGTCGATGGCGGTGTTTCTTGTGTTTCTGGTTGTTGTCCGTCAAAGTTGACGGGAGTAGAATACACGATCTCCTCATTATTTTTGGGTTGGGCGAGTGACGGTGTTGATGCCATTGTCATGGTGTTGCTTGGATTGGATATTTATTCAGTGGAATATTTATTTCCTTGGCGTTGATTTTTATTAATTGCTCCCAAAGAAAGATGGTATCTTACTTGAATTGCAAGGTTGTGATTGATGGCGAGGCCACAAAGATCGGACAACGAGCAACTGCAATCTTGACAAGACCTATATGGATGGTTTGAAGGATACTAGCTAGCTACTAGCAGTGCTTATCCACAAAAGCGGATGAAGGCATGAAAGAGAGTATTGTGGCTTATTATAATATTGGCATCTTATTAGCAAAAGCAAAGCGACGGAATGTACGTACTTTCAGCAGACTTGCATTCGCAACCTTGGGTTGGAGAGGGCGGTGGCGGATGAAAGTTCAGACTTTTCTTCAAAAAATGAGAAGGTCGCAAGTGCACCTGCGATGCCAGCATTTGTTTCTCCTTCTGGCTGGCTTATTGCTAGCTAGATGCCGGTAGGACCCTCACTTGCACGCCTCACCCACCGTCAAGACTTGTTCGCTGTTCGACCGCACTGCTCCATACCGGGTACGAGACGAGGCTTCAGGTAGCCTTAACAGCGCAACTGGCTTACCGGTATTCTTGAAATGCCCAGCCGTTCCAACAAACGCGAAACCCATCCGACACCCATCGCCTCTTCGTGTACCAACTTGAAACTTGATCGATGACCGCGCTACGCCGAAAGGACTGACCTATGGCTACAATTGCTACTGACTCCAGTGCGCTGTCCAGATAGCAAGAGTGTTGGATTGCGTTGTTCAGTACCGATAGCAGCAGAACCTGTGAAGTACGAAAGCTCCAAGAACGAGCCAACGAAGCAAATGGCTAAATCAAAAAGAAGACATGAAGAAAAAGAATACACAGAGCCATCATGGCAATGGTCAACTACAACAGACCAGCAACTCCTACGATGTGTTTAGTGATATTGTTGAAGACCAGGGGGAGCAAGAGAAGAAAGAGATGGAGCTACTAGTGATTGGCAGTCGGCATCCAACCACATTTCCCAACAGTCCTCAGCCAAATCACTCCTCACCCCACACCTTTATTGATGATGTTATCAGTAGCATCCAGCCATTACCAACATCATCTTCACCAGAATTTCACCAAACAGGAAACATCAGAGAGGAACGACCTGGAGCCTATGCTATGGCTGGGATTAGACCGATATTTCGTGGCCCAAGAAGAATTAGGCCATTGACTGGAAGGATTCCTGACGTGGAAGGACTGGGATTGGAATTGGTGCCTACATCTCAAAATGAAACTGATGGGGATGATAGGCTTATTTATGCCGACCCAATTGATGACTCAGAAAATGGGATGATTCCGACAGCAGAGCCAATAACAACAAGGGCAAAAAGATTATGGAAGAAGAAACTATTCTTATTCCTCTCCCTGGAAACCGTGGTTGCCCAAGTGCTTGTTTTATTTATTCTTGGGGCATTTCTTCTTGCTCGGAAACCAAGCAATCAAACTCCGCCAGCAAAGCTGCAAAATGGAGTGATTCCAATACAAGAATATCCAGGGACAACAGCTTCAATCACACAAGCACCAATATTGCTATGGGAAAGACTAAATCTACCTGACTACACAATCAGGGCAATGGAAAATCCTAGGTCACCACAGACCAAGGCATATCAATGGCTAAGCAACAATATCAACAACTCCAACAATACACAACAGCTCCCAGTATGGAGACTAAAGCAAAGGTTTGCCTTGGCCACATTTTATTATTCAACACGGGGGGACTATTGGGTGAAAAATCAAGGCTGGCTGGATTGGGACTCCAATGAATGCAGCTGGGCACAAATTCTTCTTTTCGACCCAAGCCCAGCAAGTATTTGTGATGACAATGGGCAACTCCTTTCATTACAATATTTTTATGCCAACAACTTGGATGGAACGATGCCGCCAGAAATATCCCTGCTTTGTGACAGCTTGGAAACACTAAGATTTGCTTGGAACCACCAGCTCAAAGGAAACATACCAACAGAAATTGGGCTGATGACAAGGCTGACAGCCTTGGGGTTTAGCGCAACTCACTTGTCTGGAACACTATCAACAGAAATGGGCCAGCTACAAAGCTTGGAGGAACTAATAATCGCACACAGCAAGCTTGATGGGACTTTACCAACTGAGCTGGGAAACCTAAGCAAGCTGGGATCTCTGTTAACGGAAGGCGTGAACTTTTCTGGTATGCAAGGGAGCCGGCAAAAGCATTGCAGAAATTCCACAGTGACTTTGGACTCATTTGAATTTTTCTGCTAACACAGGGTCAATACCCACTGAGATTCTTCAATTGTCAAACCTGAAGACCTTGATTTTCTCAGAGTGCCCTCTGTTGGATACATCGTCTTTCCTCCCTCAGGTAGTTTTAAACCTGCACAATTTGGAGATGCTGAGTCTTGACTCTCAGAAAACTGGGGAGTTCAAACCAATCCCATGTAAGTGCCATTAGTTCTTTTCTTTGGGCTCGCCTTTTGGTTGCTGAACTTGTTTTTGAAATGATGCTTTGAACAGCTGAAATTGGCAGGCTGACCAACCTGGCAAACCTGGTTTTGGACGACTTCCAAATCAATGGCACAATTCCAAGTGAGATGGGATTGTTGACAAAGCTAGTAAGTGATCATGAACGAAGCCTGCGTGGTGATGGTTCCTCTATGCACTAAGGAAGCTGTACCATTTTTGGCAGAACTACTTGTACTTGGAAAGGAACTCCATCACTGGCACGTTACCAGAAGAGTTATCAAAGATGTCACGTGAGTTGCCATATCATACCAGATTGCAAAATGCATCTCATGCTCATGCTCGTGCTTTCCATCTGTCTGCTCTACTTCAAGAGCTAAAGAAACTGCTCATTAGCTCCAACCATTTAGAAGGCATACCGCTAGAACCAGAGCTGCTTCCCCAACTCACCCAGCTACAGCAGTTATGTATCAATGACAACGTTTTCTCAGGCTCTATTGCAACAGAAGTTGGTTTGTGGTCCAGCCTCAAGATCCTTGAACTGCAAGATACCAACCTATCTGGGACCCTTCCCACGGAACTACTTTTGTTGGACAACTTGACGAGCTTGGTCTTGATGAACACATCTTTGACAGGCAGTATCCCTGATGGCTTGTGTGGTGTCAGACTCTTGCCACATGAAATGAAACGTTTTGGTGGGAATTACTATGCTGTTCCAACGACCAACCTGTCAGTCTGCTATGGAACTAATCTATGCGGCTGTACCTGTGAGCAGTGCCCGAAAAAATGACATAATTAATCCCACAACCCTCCTTTTCCCCTCTCCTTGCTTTCGTTTGCCATTGCCCAATTAGATAATTGAGGGGCTCTTAGGGAAGTTATCTACGAAAGCTGGTTAAAGAAGAGGGGAAATTCAGGACGGCTGCCGGCAGAAAAAGAAGAAATCGACTTTTGAGAGGGGAATGAAATCTTTCTTTCATCTGAAGCCTCACGCCCTCGCCCCCTTCTGCCCTGCTCCCGTCCTCCCCGCTCTCCCAGCACTCCCTGGTACTCACTACCTATACCCCCTGTGCCTACCGGTATAGCTTAGCCCCCCTTGCTCCTTAACGTCTTCACTTACAGCCCGCTCTCCTTAAGGAGGTACCACCCTCTTTTAGTCATGAGTTGGGATTAACCGGGAAAATCGCGACAACAACAACAAAAAATCGCTGAATTGGACTGGTTAGTTGAGTAGAATAAAGACCTTTGTTAAGCCTTTGACCAATAGAAAGAGTACTATGAATATAACAAACAAGGTAAGTCCATTGAGTTAGACCGCCGCTGGGGCTTAGAGCATCTACACTTGGTATGCTGGACCTCTGTGGAAACGTCATTCGTGGCAAATTACTTAAGAGACGATACACCGAGGCTTAAGAGACGATCGAAATGATTTAAGAGACGAAAGCAATCGTCTCCTATATTTAGGAGACGATTCATTAGGAGACATTCCATTTAGGAGACAATCGTTTCGAAATAGGAGACGATCCGAAAGATTTAGGAGACGATACCATACAGTTTACATGGTGCACTTAGGAGACGATCCGTTGAGAATAGGAGACGATCCGTTGAAAATAGGAGACGATTTAAGAGGAGACGAAAGATTTAAGAGACGATCCGTTTCGTCTCCTATTTTTAGGAGACGAAATCCATTAAATAGGAGACGATCAAAAGGATTTAGGAGACGATCGGTAGCACGACTCAAGTTTCCACAGAGGTCCTGCAGTTAACAGCCGAAAATCGTCCGCTAAGTCTGCTGATTCTGAGACTAATCGACCAAGACCCCAGCGGCAGTCCAACTGAGTCACTCCTTCTTAACATGTATGTTTCGAAGATTTAACTGTATGGTAGGTACTCTCAGTATTGAGTACAACAAGAGCACTAGCCAGTCCCAACAACAGCGATCGAAATCGTTTTGTTGTTGTTGTTGTCACGATTTTCTCGAGTAATTTCGGGTTTCAAGCAACTCATGACTAAAAACCGGGTGGTACCTCCTTAATATTATATATATAAGGGGGTTTAGATATTTAAAAAAAAACGGGGGTTTAGCTCCTTTTAAAACGTGCTGACTGTAGTATACGTTTCCTATTTTGTCAGGAAGCACCACTGAGCAACGGTAGACAAATTGAAGGTGTGGAACGATCGAACTCAAGAGTGCAAGGTCTCAACAGCCATCAGGAAAAGACTTGCAACACGAGGCGGATCTTGCGAGTTTCAATAACTCCTTACGTACAGTAGCCTCGGTGGCTGGACATGCAGTGGACACGGCCAAAGCTACGGGACGATACATATGTAGGGAGCGCCATTTCTACTAGGGATCGGATATCGGATCGGCTCCTTATCATGGAATCTGAAGAGGTCGACTTCACTCTAAACCCCCTTATACTGTAGTGCAAGTTACTATTCGCATCGCAATAACAAGCCAAATTGACCTGCTTCTGGTGCAACGGTGCAACATCAATTCTCGACCATGGCGCTCGGAGCCGCTCCCAGCGACTGACTTCAGGCAATCACTTTGAGTTGTACCCCCACATACGGTAGATCTTAATTAATGTTGTGGTTTGAGCACTTTTGACCTAGCTAGCTAGCTAGTCTGGAGCAAATCTTGGGGGTTGACCATTGGAGTTCGTGATGTATAAAAGTACCGCACATGGCAACAATAACACAACAAAAATCACACACGCAAATTACAGCTCACAACCTTGTCGACTCTGTGGCAGTCAAAGTTGTAAAGCAATGAGAATATCCTCCAATGGCAGCCCCAAGACTTGCCCCATACAAGGTAAGCTCAAGAACTTCTCCCTCACTTGGCCCACTGTCTTGGAACCAACAAACCTGGACACCAACAACGGCAACAGTAGCGAGAGGAAAACACTGGTAGATTCTGTCTTCGGAATATGGTGGTCGTTGTCTCTGCTGACTGGGGTCCTCTTCCTCAATGCTTCGTAACCCATAGTTTATTTGAATCAGCAGATCCAAACCAACATCAGCACCCATGAGTAAACCAACACAATTCTGAAGCAGTTGGTAATCTAGCTTGTTGGTGTATGCATCAGAATACACAGAATACTTTAAAAAGTAGGAGAGGAAGGCAGCTGCACTCAATTGTAGCCCAACCCAAATGTCTCCAACGAGATTGAGCTCTCGCTGATGACGAAGATTCCCATTGTTCAGATAGGCACATGCTGAATAATTCCCCTTGAATGTCGCCAATAATGGAGGTGGGTGAATTGCAAAAGCTTCTGCAAGAAGACTGCTCGTGTCACTATCAGCATCAGCAAGCCCCATGAAGTCTCTGTTCCGTGTCATCCCTGTGATGGTCTTGATATCATCAAGGTAGGCTTCCGCATCAAAACCACTCTCCAGTAGAGCTTCCGCAGCACCTACAGCACAGCTGACAGGAGAGCAGCGCCCTTTCTGTTTACCAAAGAGGCCACCAAAGGCACCAGTTTTGATGCAATCCCAGTTTATGGGGCAATCAATTTCGGAAGCACACTCTTGAGCTGACACAACGTCATGCATAATCAGGAGAAGGGAAAAGGTCAGGGCCGACGCCCATGGTGCCCCCGCGGTTGTGGCACGCCCAATACGGCCGAAGAACATCATTGTTGCAGCTACTGGCTACTCTGAGTAGCAACGGTAGCTAGCACTTCAGTTTTGTTTCGAAAACAAAAATGGTCTCTACATGCCTATAGTACCTGGTAGCTAGCTGATGGCTACTGTAGCTGGAGTTACTGCGATACGTACCCGTAGTGTTTGCTACTGTGACTGCAGTTTTTACAACACAACGGTAGCTATCGAGGATCGGTACCATAGTTTGGACGTCCTGAGTGACCGTTGAGAGGGCGAAGAGATCGATCGATGGATGAATTGGAGTTGGCTTCTCGACTCATGACGTGGAGCACCTCCATTGGTGTTTGAAATCCAGTGATGGGACAAGTGGTACTGTGGGCTTTGCAGTGCTGCTGGAGCTACTAGCTAGAGGTTGTTGGAAATCCAGTGCTGGGGGGCTACCGTAGTCATCCTTGGCAAGCATTGCAGCGATGGGGATGAAGGTTGTAGGAATATCGGTGCTGGGGGGCATCTGTTGGGGTGTGTCTCCTGTGCTAGTAGGGGGCCAATTGTAGGGCATGCTGTGTGGGGAAAAAGCAAAGTGTGCACGGAGCTGCCAAAATCAGGGTTCAGGTTGGATCCAATGGCGGGGAAAGAAAAGAGCATTCTCATCATGGCCGTGGTCTTCTTCTGGATGCTACCAGGTAGCCAGCCTGCAACATACCGTATGCATAGGCATGCAAGCGAAAAGTGAAAGACCCTCCACGAGCCCCGACAATGCTACTAACTCCACTGGCTTTTTGTTAGAAACATGAATAAGCCAGACGGGCTGTTTATTCCTCGATGAGACTAACTTGAGGCTCCCTGGAGGATGACCGCAACCCACCCCAACCTGGTCGCCCAAGTTCAGGTTGACCTTTTCGATAAGAGAAGAACCTTACCCCATTCTGTTCCCCAGTAATAGTATCAGGCATTTTAGCTTGCACAAACAATAATAAAAGTTGGTTTCTACCTATAGCTATGCAGCCATAGCTACATTTTGATACCGTAGCTACTCATTAGCTACAAGAGCCCAACTTCTGTTGTGAATGCTGTTTTTCTGGGGGTCGTGATCCAGAATTACATAGCTTGGGTTTGAGGGTGAAAGGGATAGAGGCATTGGAGTTATTAGTATGGTATTGGACATACCGGTACATTCATGGAGCACCTCGAGCAAGGCCAAAATCGGTGGGACTGCAACGGCATTCGGTACCCAGATTTTTCGTTCTAAAACGTTTGTTAGTCGAATGAGTCGTTGAGTCGAGACTCGGTGTCATCAATGTTGCCCGGAACAAAAAGACAAAAGAGACCAAAGGAACCCTGGTAATACATACTCTCTAGTACCACCTCCTGATATATCCAACACTCGATCCACAGACAGAGCTCTAGCTAACAAGAAGGATAGAAAGAAAGACAATATGCTGAGAGTAATTCTACGGCACACTCGCAACGCGTTTCTGTTTGCTTGTTGTGTGCTATTGCTGTGTTCCTTTCATCGGCTGTGGCGGTATGACTTTGATGATCAACACAACAACCACCCTACTAGTAGTAGTCAGGAAGGCGATGTCCTGCTAGAAGATCACTTTGTATTTTGGGATGGGATACCGGCATGGGAACGATCGCTGGAAGCACGCAGTAACAACCATGCAGTCCTCTCGAAACTCATGTCGTATACCAACCTCAACTATGCCATCCTGTTAGCCTTTAAGCGTCACAATAACAACAACAACAGTCCTTCGGTCGAATCGGCATCTACCAGTTCTGATAGAACCACTGCTACAACGAGAGACCGTGTCCCAGAGTCAGCAGTACTTGTAGAGAAACCTGCTATGACTGCCACTACCAGCATTGTATCCAAGGAAGATGCCGTCACAGTGCCCAGACCCAAACAACAAGATAGTGAGAAAGATACCCAACAAGAATCTATTACTACTACTACTAGTGAGAAAGAAGATGACGAGAAACAACAAACAGGACCGCCAACTACCACTACCAGTACCACTACCACTACCAGTACCATTAAAAGTACACAAGAAGAAGTCCCAACCGCCACACCACGACCTTTGGAAGAAGCCAAAATCATCTTTAAGCGTCAAATACGACACGGAAAACAACGGCAGACTCGCAAGAAGAAGTCACACAAGCACAAACAGACAAAAGTACCAGATGCCTCCACTCCACAAGACAACACCCATACTACCAATCCACCACTACCACCAAGTACTGCCTCCAATCCCCCCAAGATTGGATTCATCTTGCACTTGCCCAGTTGCGATCGAGACGCCATTGCCAGTTGGATCGCCACGTGGAACGAACAGGCACTCGATCAACCCTTTCTCTTTCATGTCCTATTGGGTCCCAATGTCTCCAAGACGTGTCTCGAACAACTCCAAGTCAGACTCTCACAACTCAATAATCATCATCGAGATGGGATGATGGTCTTTCAAGTCTCGCAAGATGCCCCGTTGGCGCTCGCCTTGCAAACGTGTCAGGACAATTTGCTCGAGCAACATGCCAAAATATTATCATCAGTAGTAGTGTTGGACGAACTTCTTTACTACGATCATTCCAAAGCCAAAGGACGACTGCGTTCCAGTGCCATGATGCGGCGGTTCACTACTCGCGACAACAAGAGTGTCTTTACATGTACTGGTGGGGGGCAACAACAGCCCTCCTTTTGCGATGATTCCGTCCTGGAATGTCCCTGGTTTCAGTATTCACCGTCCAACAACAACAATCCAGAATCACCACCGGACCGCACGGAAACACCCAAAGTGGAGGCGGCAGTGTTATAGCCGTCACAAAGCAAAGCAAAACGCTATAAATTGGGACACACTGCGACGAAACGAGCGAATACGAACCGCCTCCTCGCTTAATCATTATCAAAACGTATACCGTACATGCATGGGTATTAGGAATTGGCCTGTACCTGGTACCGTACAGTCAGTGAGTAGACACTTGTAGCTCGCTAGCTAGCTAGTATAGACGCGCAAGTTCTTGGCCAAGCAAAGAATGGCATCGTTCCTTTCCTTCGGAGCTACCTGCCTGGCTGGACATGCGAGTCTCACCCTTACTAATACAGTACGTGCTGTACAGCCACCATAACATGAGCCTCTGTTGCGCCCTCTCTCCAAGTAAGTCGTTCTTTAAGAAAGTAAGGGATTTCCGAGGCCAGCCAAGGTGCTGGTATGGCATCATCACGGGAACAAGAACCGCGGGTGGCACCATGATCATTATCGTTTCCTCTATTATATTGCATACTACGTCCATCCGCCGTCATGGCAGCCAGTTTGGAACACAGCCAGCCAAGCAGAGGGAAGGCCTCTGGATGACACTCACACAAGAATACTGGACATCCTTCGTTTCGGCTTTCTTGAGCAAAGGTAAATGGTAATAGCAGGATTGCTGGTACTGTGCAACCAGAGCGAAGGCATCTGGCGTGGCTTGCAAGCGAATACAATGAAACTCTTGCTCCTTCCGTAGATAGTTTCCCTACTCTAAAACCCCCGTTTTATTTTCATAAGGTGTGCCTGAATGATGGGATGAGGGGCTTCGATTCGATTCATCATTCTGTGGATCCAACTGTTGCAGTTGGTGCGGTCGTGGTTGCGCGGGAGTCAAGAGTCGAACGGACAAGCACCACGGTGGGAGTGGCGGAAACAACCGTTTTGGGTTGGCGCACCTCTTCGTCTTGGTCAGGTTCCAGCAACTCACCACCATCCATCCTACTCGACTCCATGTATTGCTCAACGCATATCTATCCCGCAAAGCTCATGATGCCAAAAATTTGAGAGTCAGCAAAGCAATTCAGGCGAAACAGCGTGCATGCGGAAGAAGTGCGGTCGACCTCTGACACCGAGCATCAAAAATTCACTTGGCTGTGATAGGCGGACTCGTGGAACGCGGAGTCAACGTAGCAACCACAACACCATACCATTAGAAAAATCTACTACCACCCAAGTACATGGATGCATTTGAAACTCTCCAGGGAGCAATGGGGGCACCCGCCTACCGACCGCACCAGCACCAATACCGCAGCAGCCTCGGTCTCCATGCGACAAACAACGCTAGAGCGAATAGGACGATTCTGTGGCTCAAACAGGTCGTCTTTTGGTTGATAATTTTCGTCTTCTTATTGATGGTGTTCGAGAGCCTCTGGGCTAGCGAACCGGAACATCGCACTACCACCATCGAAACGGAAATAGCCGACCAGGCGGGAGTTCTGCACGTAGGGACAATAGACATTAGCATTGAAAACTTTTCATCCGAAGACACTCCAGAAGAAGAGGACGATGCCGTCCCAGATACCTTTTATTTTGTTGGTGGCAAGCCGGTTTGGTTCGATGCAACTTTGGAAGGGAGATGGGCCACGCTGAAGCAACAATTTATGAGCATCTTCTGGGCCCCTACCGTGTGGCAGCCAGCTAGAATCCCTCATCGGGAAATGCCAGGACCGGAAACATTGACTCAAACGCAGCTGCTTCTGATGCAGGAAGAGGAGGAAGGATTTGAACCAGGAGCCAACGAAGTGGAACCGTTTCGACGGAGAAGCATACGAGGAACCATGACACACTTTGGCATTGCTGATGCTTTAGCGGGTGGCCTGCAACTGTAGTAGACGCACTACTGCATGCGGAGTTGATCAATTAATTAATGTAATGATATCACATAATGAAAGTATACGAAACCACGTTATGAATTCTATGCGCATGCAGATCCGCCCGGTCCATGAAACTCAAAAACATCCACTGTCCTCTGCCGCCCCATCTTATCCAGTTATCTAGGATACATGTATTTCAGCTATAGGAAGCCTAGCTAGGGGCTCCTGTTGACAAAACATAGCGAAGCAATAATCGGAGGAATCAAGCCCAAGAGGAATATCCAGCCGCAACCCAAGAAGAGCGACCTGAAGGTTGTGGGGCAAAGGCAGCTTGAAAACCAAGCAATGATTTCATAGCGACCGACGACGAAGCGGAGAAGAAATCGGGAAACCGGAAGACGCGCCACGTTTCATTTTGCACTACAGCAAACATGGACGACCTTTGTTTGTCTGGCATGTCTATCCAGGGTGCGAGGTCAAGTGAATTAGCTAGCGCTTAGTTTTTACTCCTGGCAGGCGCCCTGTTTCATTCCCTTCTCCTTGGACCGTTGTTCCTGCTCGGGGGAAGCTCTTGCCTGTCTAGTCTCGCTTGAATCAGACACGGCAAAGTCAAGAAGCTAGAACCAGGATAAGGCAGAACTGCTGAACCGCTGACGGTGGTCCATGACAGTCTGTTCACCTTGAACCAGCTGGCCTACGCTGGTACTCTGCTCACGATCATGAAGTGCTGTAACTTTGGTTGGTTGAATGGGGGAGCGCACTTTGCTCTAGCCAGCTCGAAGTTCTTTGCCTTCAACTGACAAAGCATTTGCCCTTGGTTTCACCACTCTTGATGCATCGCTGGCATTGCAGCGCCATGTCTGGCGAATAGTTGGCAAATCAAATGAGTAATATTCATGATGTCATGCTTTTGAGCAATTCTCACAAGTACAGCCACATAGACTAGTGCCATAGCAGACTGACAGGTTGCTCGTTGGAACAGCATAGACATTCCCACCAAAATAGTTCATTTCATGTGGCGAGAGTAATACACCACATAATCCATCAGAGATGCTGCCTGTCAAGGATGTGTTCATGACTACCAGGCTGGTCAAATTGTCCAACAAAAATAGCTGTGTGGGAAGGGTCCCAGATATTTTCGTGCTTTGCAGTTCGAGGATCTCAAGGCTAGACAACAAACCAACTTCGGTGGGAAGAGAGCCTGAGAAAAGGTTGTCATTGATATGCAACTGCTGTAGCTTGGTGAGTTGGTGGAGGCCACCTTGTTCCAGAGGTCTGCCTTCTAATTGGTTGGTTTGGATGTTCAACAACCTTAACTCTGATGTTGAAACAAACAAACATGCAAATTTGAGCATAGATGGCCTCCAAAGCTACAGGAGAGGTTTATAGCACTCACCTGACATCTTTGATAACTCTTCTGGTAAAGCGCCTGAGATTGAGTTCCTCTGCAAGGTCAAGTAGGCCTGCAAAAAGTGGCACAGCTCCCTTAGTGCATAGAGGAACCAATACCAAACAAGCTTTGTTCATGATAACTTACTAACTTTGTCAACAATCCCATCTCACTTGGAATTGTGCCATTGAGTTGAAAGTCTGTAATTCCTATGCTTCGCAGATTGGTCAGCCTTCCAATCTCAGCTGTTCAAAGCATTTATGTCGAAAAAATGTTCAGCCAGCAAAGAATGCAAGCACAAACACAAACACAAAGAACTAAGGGCACTTACATGGGATTGAAGTGAAGCCCCCAATTTTCCGACCAGCTAGACTTAGCAACTCCAAATTGTGCAGGTTTCCAACTACCTGATGGAGGAAAAATTCTGTATCCAATAGAGGGAACTCTGAGAAACTCAAGGTCTTCAGGTTCGACATTCGAAGAATCTCAGTGGGTATTGACCCTGTGTTGGCAGAAAACATCAAGTGAGTCCAAAGTCAAACTGTGGAATTTCTGCAATCCTTTGTCCGCGCCCTTCCATACCAGAGATATTCGCTTGAGCAGAAACCAGAACTTTCAGGTTGCTTAGGTTCCCCAGCTCAGTTGGTAAAGTCCCATCAAGCTTGCTGTGTGCGATTATTAGATTCTCCAAGCTTCGTAGCCGACCTAGTTCTGTTGGGAGTGTTCCAGACAAGTGAGTTGCGCTAAACCCCAAGGCTGTCAGCCTTGTCATCAGCCCAACCTCCGTTGGTATATTTCCTTTGAGCTGGAGGTTCCAAGATAACAAAAGACTTTCCAAGCTATCACAAAGCAGGGATATTTCTGGCGGCATTTTCCCGTCCAAGTTGTTGGCATATGCAAACTCCAATGAAAGGAGTTGCCCATTGTCATTACAAGCCACCTCTCGATCTTGTGAATCCGACCATCGTAGCTGTTCCCAGTTGCACTCATTGGAGTCCCAATCTAACCAGCCTTGATGTTTCACCCAATAGTCCCCCCGTGTTGAATAATAAAGTGTGGCCAGAGCAAACCTTTGCTTTAGTCTCCATAAAGGGAGATGTTGTGTATTGTTGGATTTGTTGATATTGCTGCTTAGCCATTGATATGCCTTGGTCTGTGGAGACCTAGGATTTTCCATTGCCCTGATTGTGTAGTCAGGTAGATTTAGTCTTTCCCATACCGGTAGCGATATTGGTGATTGTGTGATTGAAGCTGTTGTCCCTGGATATTCTTGTATTGGAATCACTCCATTTTGCTGCTTTGCTGACTGAGCTTGATTACTTGATTTTCGAGCAAGAAGAAATGCCACAAGAATAATCAAAACAAGCACTAGTGCAACCATTGTTTCCAGGGAAAGAAACAAGAATAGTTTCCTCTTCCATAGTCTCTTTGCCCTTGTTGTTATTGGCTCTGCCATTGGAATCTCCCCATTTTCTAAGTCATCAACTGGGTCAGCATGAATAAGACCAGCATCATTGCTCGTTGATTCTTCACTGTTATGTCTAGTGAAATTGAAGGCCAACAGATTGCTGATATCAGCATGAATAAGACCATTATTGTGGTCTCTGTCACTTTGAGACGTAGGCACCAATTCCAGTCCCCGCGCTTCCATGTCAGGAATCCTTCCAGTCAATCGCCTACTTCTTGGGCGATGAAATATCGGTCTGATCCCAGCCACAGCATAGGCCCCAGGTCCGTCCTCTCTGACCCTTCTTGCTCGATGCAGTGATGGTAGAGTTGATGTCGGTAATGGCTGGATGCTACTGATAACATCATCAAGGGCCTGTGGCGAGGAGTGACTTGGTTGAGAACTGTTGGGAAATGTGGTTGGATGCTGCCTTCCAATCACTAAATCCATCTCTTTCTTCTCTTGCTCCCCTTTGTCCTCACCAATATCACTAAACACATACATTGTAGGAGTTGCTGGTTTGTTGTTGTAGACCCCTGCCATCATGGGTTCTTGTCTTCTTGTTCTTCTTGTCTTCTTTTTCATTTTTACTGGAACTGGTGCCAGCGTCACTTTTTTCTGTGTCTGCTGTTCCCATGGTGGGGTGGTCACGTCGGGTGGAAGTAACGGTATACCAGTCCGCTGGCTTATTGGACACACCTCATTGCTATGGTACCGGTACGCTGCTGGCTGGTACCTGGTTCTCGTTCAAGTTTGTCCGAAGCGCGCAACCCTACTAGTACTGTAGCTCTACAAGATACAGTGTCTCCATTGCTTCAGGGTTATCTGCGTGAAGTGGCATGATTTTCTCCATCCCCCGGTAGTTACGGGATTTTTGAAAGGCTGTTGGTGTTACTGAATAAAGTAGTGCATTTCTCCGTCCCCTTTCAGGGCGCGTCGCATGCCTCTTCCACAGGTAGGTGTATTGTATACCCCACTGCGTTGTGGTGGCGCTGTTGGGCACTGATTTTCTCTATCCCGGTACCGTACTAGCTACTACAGGATTTTCCTTTGCAGGCTCAATTTTTTATTTGAAGCAAGGGGCATGTTTAGTTGCTGGTGTTGATGATCATTGGGCGGTTGGAGCCGGTACTTCATCTACTCATCTACTAGAGTACTGCCCTACTAGCTGGTAGTACCTTTTTGCAGAACGGTGGCATGGATCTTCCACTAGCTAGTGTACCGGTACATGCACTACTGGCTAGTGAGCCTTGGATGCCAATGGAGGCTTTGGTCATGTTGCGTTGTTGTTCCATTGAGGGATGGAATGACCACATGACTACAATAAGTCTACAATGAATAATGAAAGCCCGACCCCGATCTGATACTGCCTGTGTCGGTGCCGAGACAGTAGTTGTACCGTACAGTACCGGTACCGGTAGATAGGACATAAGATTAAAACATCGGACTTAAAGATTAGGTATTGGTAATTCGTAGTCATCAAGATGCAACTGTGGCAGCAAAAAGACAAGATAGGTCTTCTTGTTAATCAGAAAAATCTCGAAACAATCGGATCTAAGAAACAGTTGCACGAAAGCTCCACCAGGGTTCTTTATCCTCGATTGATCGGTCACCGTTCTAAGGTCATTCAAAATCTCGACTTAATTAAAGACCCAAAGAAGATGATTTCTTGTTAATTCATTTTCTAAGAAGAAATCGGATCCAACTAAGCAACAGTTGAACGAATGCCCCACCATGGTTCTTTGTCGTTTACCTTGTACTGGTGCCTTGGATTGAACTTTTCAAGCACGTCATTTCGTCAGTCATCTCGACTCTCCGATCTAGACCAAGAAGCTAAACGCGAAGGATTTGAGAAGCTGTCTATCAGGTTGTCGGTCTCCTATCTTTTGAGTTGCTCGGTTCTTCTTCTCACTTTTGCATTGTTTGATCATTGCAAGCTTTCCTCTGCTCTCCTCCTGGTGCGAATTTTCTTCTGAGGAGACAGGCAACTCCATTCTACAACGAACTTTTGGCATGAGGGCTCAACCGTCCCTGGAAGATTCGCTGCTACGAGCATTGGAAGATGAGGGGCAGTATGGTGTTGCTCCAGAAGAGCATCCAGTGCCCACTGAGGTGATTTCGCGACGACATCATTTTGACGATCACCAAACTTGTGTTTCTTCTGTTACTGATGCTCTACAGGATGCCGACCTCTTCGTGAATCGCATGTATCCTACTTTAAATGAAGTCCCCGAGGAGGAAATAAAGCCCGATTTGCTGGTGCCGAGCGTTGCTGAGAGTATCACCGAAGAGCCAGATAACCCAAATGAAGAAAAAATTGGAACACTTCCCGAGGAAGTTGCAACTGTCGATGCTGCGAAAAGACCTTGGGGTAGATTTTCTGTTCCAATCTATGATTGCACCGCCAAAAGCAAGGAAACGCCCGCCAGTACAAAGACAGAAAGTGAACTTGAAACCAGATTCAACGGGATCCTTGAAGTCGCCAAGGATCCCTTCAGCAGCAAGGAAACGCCTACCAAACCAACGACAGCAAGTGAACCTAAGCAAGCTGATGATGCCCATGATCTTGAAACTGGATTAAACGGGATCCTTGAAGTAGCCAAGGGAGGGCAGCTGCAACCAGCTCAACGGGAAATCCCAGAAGAATCCAGATTCTCTTTTGTACTCTCAACTCCGATAGATACTGATCTTCAAGAGGCATCAACTTCTCCAGTTGATCCTCAGCTTACTGTGCTGAATCGTACAACACCGCACAGTCATATGACGGATACATTGCCAGGAGCATATGCACAACCTGGACCAGGTTTCTCTGACAGAAGCAGTTCTGAGGAATTTGATTCCAACATTGCAATGAATGCAACATCACCTGAGAATATGAATGGATTGGCCATAGCAAATCCGGTCGAGGACAATGATTTCCCTACTGCATTGCCACATGAACATGAAAATGATGTGGCTGCTAGACAGAGGGCAAACGAAACAAAGCAATTCAAGACAAAAGTACTTCTTGGAGTTATCTTCATGATTGCCATCATCCTCCTCTTCATGGTTACTCTTCTGACTCCAACGGGCAGCCAACCTTCAGTTCTTGATGCAGTTCTAACAACAGAAACTGCTGAAGAAATAGAAGTTCCCACCAGCAACCCTTCCCAAGCACCCACATCAATATCTACTTCTACTCTCAAGCTGTTCCCAATGAACACCACTGCCAAGATTCTGGAGGACCCAGATTCCCCCCAGGCAAGAGCATTTGATTGGCTCATGGAGGAAGGGGACAAGTTGGAGTCCCTTTCTGAGGACCGCATCATTCAGAAGCTTGCCCTTGTAACACTATTCTTTTCTACAAGTGGCGATCTATGGGCTAACAGTACTTCCTGGCTCAATCACAGTGTCCATGAATGTGAATGGCACACTGGCTCACATTTTGCCATGATGGATCTATATGCTTTATTGTATCCTGGGTATCTGAGAGACTTTTTCCCATCTGATGAGGCACCACCAACAACCTGTAACGATGACGGTATCTATCAACATCTTTGGTTGGACAGCAATGGGTTGGCCGGTTCACTCCCTGATGAGCTCTATCTTTTGACATCGTTGAAGACCATGTCCTTTGCATTCCACCAGTTACAAGGATCCATCTCAAGTTACATTGGACAGCTTAGCTCATTGGAAGGCCTGGCTTATAGTTATGCCAAGGATGGTGGTAGAATCCCTTCTGAGCTTGGCCTTCTGACCAACATGCGAATGTTAGGTCTCAATGACAACAATCACACAGGCTACATCCCTTCAGAAATCTGGCAGCTCACAAACTTGGACACCATTTCAATTGGTGGTAACACTGAACTTAAAGGCAGTATTCCAACTGCTATTGGTCATCTTGAAAGCTTGAGATGGTTGCTGCTTTTGTTTTCGGATCTCACAGGTACGAATCTGCTGTTTGCATCATCCTTATGCTTGTTCGGTTCGGCCTCTTACCTTTCTAGCTATGTTGATTAGGTACAATCCCCACAGAAATCAGTCAAGCAACCAATCTAGAATGGTTGACCTTGTGGGAGACTTCTCTGTCAGGAACACTGCCGGTCGAGTTGATGCAGCTATCCAAGCTAGAGTCACTATCAATGTTTGATAACTCTCTCCAGGGCAGAATCCCTTCAGAGCTAGGTCAAATCTCAAGTCTTACATTGTTGTCAGCCTGGGGCAACCAGCTCACTGGCCCTCTGCCAAGCGAACTGGGTCTCCTTACAAACTTGGCGGTTACTCTTAACATCATGGAAAATCAGCTGTCAGGAACCATCCCTACAGAGCTTGGGCTGCTATCAGGACTTGTCGAGTTAGAATTCAGTGGTAATCAATTCACTGGGCAGATTCCTAGTGAATTGGGTGAACTCAAGTCAATTGGCCGCTTAACCTTTGCCAACAATTCTTTCTCCGGGACTCTTCCTCAAGAATTGACAGCTCTCCACCAATCTATGCATACCATAAGCTTGGAAGGCAATCCTTTGCTCTCTGGATCCATCCCTGAAGATGTCTGCAACACCAATGTCACCTGCATTGGAACCCCACTTGATCCTTGCAGAGGCCCCTATGGGTTGTCATTTGACTGCTCCAGGTTGCTTTGTGGTTGTGAGTGTCCCTGTGTGGAGGAGTGATGTCACAGGACAGGCAACACCATTGACTTCATAGGTTGTCTGTATATGTTTCAAAACTATATTTTACATTTAGCATTTCAAATACCAAAAGATTCTGCCTTTCAGTCTTGGTGCGGAATGTTGCTCAACAGTTGTGCAAATGAAATGTCATTCTTGGCTGGACTCTTGCTGGCGTATACTGAGTGCTCAGTATTCGCCCCTCTGAGTGGATTGGCTAGCTGTACGCGGACATCACAGTGGTACCAGGTACTGTTGATGGTCGCAGTTTGCGAAAGGAGTGCCCAGTATTCACAACGGGATTGATAAGAGGCATGAGGGAAAGTTGAAAGTTGCCTTTCCAGCAGCGACGCCCGCATTTTTTGAAAACTGATAGGTATACATAAGATGTCTCACATTGAACGTTAGCAGCTCTTGGCTCGGACTTTAAAAATATCATTGCTTCTTTTTCTATGCGTCGACTTGTCCTGCTCGGACGGAAAAGAACTTGCGCCAGCCAGATTTCACTCGGCAAAAGCAACGCTTGTGGTTCCTGCCTGCAACCAGGAAAAGGATCCTCGATGTATACACGTCGGGCAACCATCAATGCGGGAAGCAGACATCTGCCCAACGAAGCCGAAGTTTGTTCCAACATGCAGCTGATGCATTTTCAACGACTGCGGAATTGCAGCAGGCATCATCAGACAGCGGTTGCTGCTGCACCCTAGCCAGCTAGAGCGCACTACTTGCTCATGCCATTACCGGTACGGGCACAGGAAAGGTAGTATCAGCTAGATGACGGAATCAACGGGTGGATTGAGTGTTCCTCCTTGAAATGGAAGCAATCACATTGGGCAGAGGCACTCCACCCTGCCATAGAATTCTGGTAAACCGGCTACTTTCGATTCGTGTGAAGCCTTCAATTTGGCCATCCGCTCCTGCATTTCCTCCATTACATCTGCAGTCCATTTCCACCCCAAGTCCCAGCCGTATGATAGTCCACTCTGTCTTCTCATTCTCCCGTACCTCTTTTGAGGTGGTCATTATCAAGGAAAGGAAGAGAGTTCCCCAACGAAAGTCCTTTGGTGAGTCCATCTTGAGGAGCTTGATGACTAATGAGTCATGAAGATGATACATGAAGTGGGCTCGGCGATCCTACACCGATCCGAGTCATTGTCCCTTGTGTGACAGTCAAGGGGGTTGTCGAGTGGGGAGGTTATCTACGGTGACACGGTGACTGCAACCAAATTCGCTCTCCTCTGTTGCTTCCCTTCCAGGCACAACGCTTTGATTGGGAGGACGGGTGGAAGGGTGTTCCTCAATGGCTCGAAATGCGAACCCTTCTAGGAGCTGAGTAGCTACTGGTAGTAGAATGGAGGGAAAGCAACCAGAAGTCCTCGTCTGTTCCACATACTTGCGGGGCACATTCGCTGAGCCAATTCGGCAACAGAACTGTAGCTTGATGGGTTGACTCTGTCAATCCCAGTAAATTATTTAGTATACTCACTTTTTGCTGCAATTGATAAATGGCGAAATCTCAGGAAAATTTTCTGGGGGGCGCAACCGAAGCAGCAACACTTCCCGTAGCCAGCTACGATACCGGTAGGAGGCCAGCTTGGTTGCCTGCCGGGCTGGCAGTGCAACTGCTTCTCAACACAGGCTCAACACTGAACTCGGCACTATCTTCAACACTGAACTCGGTTGGAAACCTGTTGGAATTCGAACCACTGGTCCAAACGTCCGAACGGAAATGACTCCGGTACCGTACCGCTACGCATGAAGCGCGACCAACAATGAATTATTGTATTGAAGTTGCCAGGAACCAGTTGAGGTTGAAGTTCCCTCAACTTTAAAACCACACTGGAGTAGATACTCGAGTACATGCGTCGAATACGAAGCTTTCTGGCTTCCAGGTACCGGTACTCTACAAGTAATGTTGCGCATGACCTCTCCACAGATAACCTATTCAGCACAGTACTGTAGTTTGATGATTCGATTCGATTTCTTCTCGACGTGCAGGTGGTGGTATTGAAATCACCTCAAGTAACCCACAGTCGCCTTTAGCCAGCCTTCTCTGACAAGTGGCTCTGTCCAGTGGCTGCTGCCTGCCTGCTGCCTGCTGCCTGCTGCCGATTACGAACAGACTTGTCGCCTCAGCCCACATTATTTTTTTCTTCTCACTTTTGCATCTTCATCTCTTCAATAAAGTTTCTTTTGTTGCGGTTGTACGGCAACGTAGGTAGCAATGGACAAGAATTGCAACAAGGCGGATGAGGATTTCCTCATGTCGATCGTGGTGGCGCGTTCCAGATGCCATTCAGTTGAATCCAAAATTTCCGATGGGGAAAGCCAGTCCATGAACAAGGTAACAGTCTACACTGATTGTGCCGCTGTACATCTAGGCTCGTATTTGCCATCCCACCATCCTCTAACTATTCAATTCATCTGCGCCTGCAACTACAAAAAGGCGGAAAAGGATTGCAAAGACATAGAATCGGTATCGGATATTGATACTATTAAAGTACCTGGATCCAAACCAGATGATTGTGAACCCTTTGATTTGTCTGAGAAGAAACAAGCCACTTATGCGGAGCCAACAACTGTGTCTAAGTCAGACGATTATGCCCCTGATCTGGAAGCTGGATGCAATGGAAAAATCCTCGAGGTAGCCAGGGGAACACATATACAGAATAAGTGGCCGGAAGAGGTCATGTCCGGACGAGGCAGCAGCACTCTTCAAGAAGCATCAACTTCTCCAGTTGATCCTCAGCCTACAGAGCTGCATCGTACAACACCAGGAAGTCAGCTGCCTGAGACGTTGCCAGGGGCCTATGCAGAAGCTGGTCCAGGTCTAAATTCCATCGATAATGGTTTTGGGGAAGAGGAGTCTGCAGCAGAAATGACTTCAACTGCAACGGCAACAGAGAATGTCAATGGATTGGCTGTGGCAAATCCGGTCGAAGAAGATGATTTCCCTACTGCCTTGCCGCATGGAAATAATGCAGCTGCAAGAAAGAGGACTGAAGAAACAAAGAAATTCAAGACATATGTCTTTCTTGGGGTCACCTTCATGATTGCCATCATCCTCCTCTTCATGGTTGCTCTTCTGACTCCAACTAGCAGCCAACCTTCAGTTCTTGATGCAGATCTAACAACAGAAACTGCTGAAGCAATAGAAGTTGCCACCAGCAATCCATCCCAAGCACCCACATCCATTTCTGCTGCTACTCTTGCACTGTTCCCACTGAACATCACTGCTAAGATTCTGGAGGACCCAGATTCCCCCCAGGCAAGAGCATTTGATTGGCTCATGGAGGAAGGGGACAAGTTGGAGTCTCTTTCTGAGGACCGCATTATTCAGAAGTTTGCCCTTGCAGCGCTTTTCTTTGCTACAAATGGCAATACATGGAAAACTAATACATCCTGGCTCAGTCACAGTGTTCATGAATGTGATTGGCACAACAGCTCACATTTTGCCATGATGCATGTTTTTTCTGCTTTGTATCCTGGATATCTGAGAGACTTTTTCCCATCTGATGAGGCACCACCAACAACCTGTAACGATGACGGTATCTATCAACATCTTTGGTTGGACAGCAGTGGGTTGGCCGGTTCACTCCCTGATGAGCTATATCTTTTGACATCGTTGAAGACCATGTCCTTGGCATTCAACCAGTTACAAGGATCCATCTCAAGTTACATTGGACAGCTGAGCTCATTGGAAGGCATGGCTTATAGTTATGCCAAGGATGGTGGTAGAATCCCTTCTGAGCTTGGTCTTCTGACCAACATGCGAATGCTTGCACTTGATGATAACAATCACACAGGCTACATCCCTTCAGAAATCTGGCAGCTCACCAACTTGGACACTATCACAATTGGTGGCAACACAGAACTGAAGGGCAGCATTCCAACTGATGTTGGCAACTTTGAAAAGTTGAGATGGTTGTTCCTTTACCTGGGTGACTTCTCTGGTACGAGCCTACCACTTTTGGTTCCAAAATGATGTTATGTCTCTTACCAGCCTGTCTTCCTTTAGGTACAATCCCAACTGAGATTGGTCAAGCAACCAATCTGGAATTTGTATCCCTTCGGCACAGCCCTTTGTCTGGGACACTTCCCACAGAGTTGATGGAGCTCTCCAAGCTTGAAGCCCTTTCGCTGTTTGATAACTCTCTCCAGGGAAGAATTCCTTCAGAGCTAGGTCAAATTTCACATCTTACATTGCTGTCAGCCTGGGGCAACCAGCTCACTGGACCTCTCCCAAGCGAACTGGGACTCCTGACAGACCTGACTAGTAATCTTAACCTCATGGAGAACCGGCTGTCAGGAACCATCCCTACAGAGCTTGGGCTGCTGTCAGGACTTGTCGAGTTAGAATTCAGTGGCAACCAATTCACCGGGCAGATTCCTAGTGAATTGGGCGAACTCAAGTCCATTGGCCGCTTGACCTTTGCCAACAATTCTTTCTCTGGGACTGTTCCCCAAGAATTGACGGCTGTCAACCAATCTCTGCATACCATAAGCTTGGAAGGCAATCCTTTGCTCTCTGGATCCATTCCTGAAGGTGTCTGCAACACCAATGCCACCTGCATTGGAACCCCACTTGATCCTTGCAGAGGCCCCTATGGGTTGTCATTTGACTGCTCCAGGTTGCTCTGTGGTTGCGATTGTCCTTGTGTCTACGGCTGACCTCAATGGAGAGGCAACATCCTTGACCTCTTTCTTTGCCTACACAACTAGAACACTGCATAACGTTTACATAAAACAGCTTCATGATTGGTTATCCGAGGAAAAGAAAGTGGCTGCAAATTGGCAGTTGTTGGTCAAACAAGGTTTGCCTTGGCAGTTTGCCGGTGTGGGGTATCTTACCGCGGTTGACTTCATGGTGAAGTGGACTAGCTAGCACAGTGCATGACTGGACAGCATTCTAGCTAGGCTCCATCGCAGCAATCTCCATCGAAAACTTGTCCCTATCGTTGGTCTGAGTAGATCCAAAATTGAACCACAACGGTGTGGCTCCGAACTTGCTAGATGGCATTCCCTCTACGACTAGCTAGCCGTTTCGCGGGAGCACAGCCGCCCACTACTACGGAGCTGAGCAGGATTGTGCAGGATCGTTTTCATTTTCAAGTTCGTGCGACTGTGCTATGCTAGCTATCCTCCATGGCATGGCGAAGCAAAAGTCACCATTGGCATGCGGCAGCTCTGGAGTAATAGAAAGTAGTCCTCCTTTTGTTGCTTATAATGATAGTTGTTCGTGCGCAATATAGATCAAAACTTTTATAGATGTTACATTATTGATGTTTTCAAGCAAGTGAACTGAGTTGCCCAACACGTTCCTGTCATGGGCTCCTCGTCGCCGTAGAAAGGCATTGATTTAATGTTCAAGCTCAAGCTGTGCTTGTCTTCGAACTCATTGTAGACACGTTGCTTCCTTGCCGTTGGGGCAGCCTTGGAGGGAGGGACTGGCGTTTGCAAAGGGTTCTTGCACCGAGAACCTTTTGGCTGTTGGAATCTTGTTGTCTTCGTGCTTGGTGGATATCATCGGCCGACCACGCGCTGCGATCAAGTGACTTTTTGATCTTGCAGCTGGAGGCTATGCTGCTGTCGATGCTAGAAGATAGGATACTCTTGCAGCTTGGAATTCTCTTGGGAGCAGTCGGTGGCAATGTGGATACAACACTTGTTCTCTTGATCTCACTTCGGTCAATGCATCGGTGGCAATGGCGTCTCATCAGCAGACGGTCCGAGTCCTCTCCATCATCCTTGTCAGAGGAACACGAGGACGAGGAACAACTGCTCAAGTCTTCGTCATCGATAAGAGTGGTAGAAGCTGAGTCATCATTCCACCAGCGTTGAAGATCACTTTCCTCGGCAGCATTGCCCGTGAAGCTCGTGCGAGGAATTGAACTGTTGGGGTTGATGACGGCGAAGATATACTCGGGGATTGCGCCTTTGTGGCACGTGTGTTTTCTTGTCCTGCTCATGGTCATGTTTGTTGCTTTGTTGGTGTGGGCTTGGCACTTGGCACAATGTTTGTGCTTTTTAGTTTTGTGAGAGGTTTGACTGCAATAAGCAACCAATATTGTGGTTTTCAAACACCATTCTCAGACGACAATCCCACGAACCTACAAATTTGACTTACCAAAGGCCTTGTGTAGAAATCCAGCAAACGGAGACAGCATGTGAATACATTCGCGTTGCAGGGTTAATAGGCTCATTTGTTTATTGTCATATATTGAGTAGCATAGGATAGTTTCAGCAGACCCCAAGCGAAGAGGAGGTTTCGTGGGGCTTTGGACATTCTCATCGTCGCTGGACAAGCCTCTCTGCAATAGGCGTCCGAAATTGAATGGAACTTCCGTAGCCTACCATCGACCCAGTGCTGCCACATTCCCACCTCATCGCCCCGCATCCCTGCCTCAATCAGCATCTGAAGTTCCAATTTTACAAGAGGTGCGGGTGCTGCGGAGATGCTCTCACAAAACACCAAGTGAACATGAACACGAAATGGAATCATGGAACCTCTGTCAAAAGACTCGTTCTCCTTAACAAGTTCTTATCCATCCTAAGTCCTGATAATTTGAGGGATAATGAGAAGCAGGATTGAAGACTATGGATTATTTACCTCTTACACCCACAAGTGCTGCGGACCTTTGTCATTAAGTCAATTATGGCCTGTTTCGGATTTTTGGAAAGATTTCGTTATGTCGCTGGTACCTTGGCACAAGACAGCATTCCTTCGAAAAATGACCCTCATTATTTCGCCCAGAAATTCAGCAACTAAAAGAGAGAATTGGGACTGGTACACCTCCGGCTCATCGTCACCTTTGCATCATGTCTTTCACAATGACATTGTGTGTGAGTGAAATTAATGTATTGGAGTACTACCTAGAGTACGGAGTTCCAATGTTTGTGTATGCAGCCATATCCTTGCCACGGTTATTGCTAGGAAGCAAAGGGTCTCGTCGTCGCTCAGCCACAGCGGGGCTGTCGTCTTGCCACTCTGCAGCTAGCAAGAGCTCTAGCAAGTAGCAAGGTGACATGAAGGGAATTGGGAAACGGGCTGAATCTCGGAATGTAAAGAAACATCATTGAGAAGCCACAGCACAGCTGGACATCAAGCAATACAAGAAGAAAACGAGAAAACTAAGGGTCACGACCTTTTTTGACATTAAGTTTTGTTACCCAGTGGAGCAGTGAAGAGCAAAAAGGTCCTCCTCTGAGTAGTGCATAATATCAACATCAATCAACATCCTAACATCCTAATAACAGCTATCCTAACAATACTGCAGTGAAACCTCCTGGAATGTTCAAGGAGCGAAAATCGATAAAGAACGCTACTGTGGCAAAAACGAAGTCTTGTGTCCATATCGAGTCATACACAGAATGGAAGGAAGTGCCTTGTAGCCTCCAGCCATAAACCTAACTTTGAGTGTTGGTAGTTTTGGTGATGTACAGTAAGATTGTGACTTTGGTTAGCAGACTTCGCATTGAGCACTGAGCACCTCGATCTCGATCAAGCCGTGAAGAGTGTTAAGAGGCCTCATGAAGTGACTTTGTTCAGAAAGTTGCTTTAGGTTTCTGTTCTTCCTGGAGACTGGAGAGGGGCAGGGGCCTTCACCTCTCCTCGTGGCAGCTGGCTGAATCTTCACTCTACATGTACAACAATACTCAGTGCTGAATACTGGCTGGTACTGATTAGCTTGAACTTCTAAAGACGCTGGTTGAGTAATCAGGTAATCAGGTCTTCGAAGCTGGACTACATAGCTACAACATCATGTACCGGTACGAGTTCCTGTCGGCTGTTTCGAAGACAAATCTGTGCTTCTATTATTTTTGGGGTTCGTTCGGTTTTAGGTTTTAGGAATGTTTTGGTGGGCTGCAGAACATTGTGTTAACGGGAACTTGCCATTCCAATCCGAACTGTAAATCATTATTCACTGCTAAAACAGCTGCTAAAACACACAAAGTCCAAGGCCCTAAACAGAGGTGAATATGAGTCATATAAGCTATTATAATAGCACATGACGAGGCCATGACGAAATTGCGTTACTGCGGTAAATTCGATACCACCGTTACTACACACTCCAAAGGCTGCAAGATACACAACAGGGCACGGAAACGTTAGGAAGTTTGCAGTTGAGGCCAATTGGATGCTATCTCAAGGGTGTTTCTATTGGGATAGTACATTGATCAACTTGTTGACTACGGTATCCATCTTTGGACTTGATGACCACTTCAAGGTTCAAAAGGACCCCCTACAAAGGCCGACAAGCCTAAGATGTCTTCACCAACAAGCCTTTAGAAGCCTATAGCAATGTCTACTGCTTCCTTGTTTTGATGCTGAAGTGAGGTGTTTCTCATGATGATGAGCTGGTCAGCCACGTGGAGTGTAGACACGGAAGCTGTTGTGCTGGCTGAGTGGCTCTGGCCTCTAGCTAGAGATAGAAGAGCAGCCGTTTACTACTAGACGCTCCTCCAGCAACCTGGGACCACCAGAGCAGCGATGCGTGCTGCAGCCGGATCTGTCTTTTTGGTTGCAGCTAGTTGAACCATCCTTTTCTCTTTTCTTGGTTGCTCCTTCACTGCCCTCCACTGCTATCGGCAGGAGCTACTAGCTAATACGACCGCAGAAAGAAGTCCTAAAGAAGTATTCATTCATTTTTCTAGTGATTACAGGCGCATAATGTGTACTCAAAACTGGGAGGTTGCCCCCCCTGATGCATCCGATGCATTAGGCCGTAGACTAACCCGCCTTGCCATCTTCATTTGGGTAGGGCCTTATCAAAAACTTGCTCGTGTGAAAAAAATTAAGCTACGATTGAAGATACATTGCTCCCCTTTCGTCGGGGCAGCTTCGGTGGAAGGACCATTCGCTGACTGACAGTCTTGCTGGCTGCCGCTCGTTGTTTTCGTCTTTGGATGGCGCGACTACCAATTCGTGGGGATCTGTTGTCGCTGCAGGCTTCTTTGGAGTGGTGTGGCTGCTTAACCGTAGTGTTGCTGATATTGTCATTGCAGCCATCGTTTCTTGGTGCTCCCTTGCCGTCATTTGTGTGGGCTTCCATGAGTAAAGAAATGAGATTGGGGCAACTGGGCTGTCTCATAGGCATGGGAGGCAGTCCACAATCTGCACAAGATTCTTCCGACTTGCTTCGGCGTCTTGGTGGGGACTGGCAATGGCAGTGTTCATCGTCCAGCTCCATGGAATCCCTTTCACCCACCGAGGATGCTTCATCACCGTCGTCGTCAGAAAACAGACTGATGGAGCCATCGTCAGAGCAACCAAGGGACACGAAGGAGTCCTGCCAAAAGGAATCACCGATCCTGTCGCCGCCATGGTCCAGCTTTTCTGGTTGGGTATTCATCGTAAGGATGAAGTCAGGAATGCTTCTCTCATCAAAGTTTTCAGGCATCATGGTTGTTTGTTTGTTGTGGGGCTGCAATTCTCAGTTAGTTGTGAGAAAGAGAGAGAGAGAGAGGATTTGGTTTGGTTTTTGGGATGGCATTGCTGGGGTTGGTTTTGGTGGTGGGGGCGATGGTTGATAGAAGACTGATCAAGAGGGCCTCTTGGTACTATTCATCTCTTTGGGTCGCCTTTGCCTTAAGCAGCTCTTGAGTTCGCATTTGAAGGAAGTTGACACGTGCTTTAGTAAAGGCCTAAAGAGACTCTTTCCAATTTCCAATAAACACAAAGATCCATTATGGGGTCATTGACAGAAAGCCTGTTTGATTAGCTTTATCAAAGGAAAAGCCTAAATTCGGATCTTGCATGACTGTGATTTAAAGATACCGTTCACATACATGTTGAGCATGCGTTGTTATATCAATGTCTGAGACGTGGCACCAGTTTGCCAGCTTCTGGAGCCCATGTTAAGTATCCTTTAGGACGAAGGGCAACCTCTTATAATGCACTGTTCTTCTGGTGGAGCCGTGGTGGTCAAATAGAAGAGCCTACTTGACACTATCATAGCTCGATCATTGAGTTACGGTTTTCCCATTCTCAATAGCGCATTAAAAGGATTGTTGCATCAGGCCTTGAAGCGTTTTGGCCTTTTCTCCAGGGGCTCTTTTGTGTAAAAATCTTGTTCGATAGCTTTTGCTATCCAACAGATTTTCGGCCATTCTGTTTGTTTGTGTTTTTGAGGTTCAAGGTTGGGGACCATATCAATCACTCATCTAAAGTTCCAGCAGTTCGACACCTACTTTGTTGACAGAGTGGCCCTTCAGATTAGCCTTTGTAGTGATGGTGAGGCCTGGCCTGATGGAATAGGCTTGGTTCAGCTTCGTCAACTGAAAGAATGGCAATGAGCTGCTATTTCTTTATGGTGTGGAGGTTCAAAGCCTTCGAGGTTCACGAGATCTGGGGCAAATGCATTGGTGGATTGATGAGGGAAAGATTACAGAAGGAAAGAGTATCATGATCGAGATCGGCTGCACTTGCGCCTCTGGAGCAGGCTCGTTCCATTGGGGATACTGGTACCTCTGTGGTGTGGTAGTACCACACAGGTGATCAATAGATAGATGCTGCAGTTACCCGTGGGTATCCTGCCGGATGGGATTCCAGCAGCTGAAGGGCACTTGAAGAAGGAACCAAGCGACGCAGAGTCCTTGCACTTCCGAAGCTCGGCCTCTACTCCTTCGCTAGGACGGGTGTGGTATGCCATTCTTGATCTGGACCTCCGGCGAAACACAAGAAGTAGATCTAGAGACCAATTGCAATCGCTGTGAACCAGCCAGCACAAAAGGCCTACAAGATAAGGCAAGATTGCTGGTCTCTTGGCCAGCCAACCAGGAAAGCAGAAGTCCTGAATGGAAGTAATTTCAACGAAAACAGACGGGGAGAGAGGGATGTCTGCTTGTGTCCGGGAGGCGGAAGTTACAGATAGATGGGGCAGGGGCCACGACGAGCACTGAGAGGCCCCAGGACTGGGAGGGTTGCTGCTCCATGTCGGGTATTCCGTGCCCCTACCGGGATGCCCTTCCCGCCACCCTTCTACTTCTACCTGGCTGGTTATGAAAGCCTTGACCGTCATGTTTAGGCTTTTCTACGGGGGGAAGGGGGAGAGGGAATTTGAGGACAGGATGTTGGATTGTTGGATCCAACACCATGATCACAAACTGCATTGCCCGTTCATGTCATTCATGGTGGCTGTTTCGCTCCATGAACTTCCTGCTTTTGGACGCGTCTTTGTCTCTTGGTCAGACTTTTGCGCCAACTGGCAAGTGGGAAACCCTTTCTCAAGCCACTGACCGCCCATGTTTCAGTCTACACTTCATTAACTCTTCTCTTTAAAAATACGGCAAAACTTGAAACTACCTATTGCATCTTGTCATATGAAGTATGTTCCTACTTGCGCATCGCGGAGGATGCACCAGCGAGTCCCCTGCCCTTGCTTGGTCGCCCCGTTTTGATGCGGTAGCTGCCCCCATCTCCGAAATGTCTACGGTTCCCTTGCTGTTGGAGTTGCCCAGGAATCTTGGACTTCGTCGTCATTGTTCCTCCCATCCTCGATATCGTCGGATGGAACACTGCAAGATTCGCTCTCAAAAGAGGCATCTAACTCAGCCGTGCACGAGTACATGCAGTCTCCAGAGTCTGCAAGAGGCTCCTTTGGGTCAGAATCTTCCAGTAGACAAGAAGAGAGGCTTCCATTCCCTTCCTCGTCATCGCTGTTTAGGAGCCCTTCCTCAATACTTTCTGAAGACAAACTCTCGAAGACAATCTCCTCTTCCTCCTCTGCTAGAGCATCTTCTTCGACCTTCATAGAAAGGTCTTGTGCCTCCGATGGCAGGAGTTCAGGCATTGCATGACCTTCTAGCCCATCTTCACTTCTTGCCTGTTCCGAAGACTGGTCCATGGGCTCCGCTGATGTTTCCACCACCGTAACTTCCGTTACTCTTTTGGCTCGTTGCTCCATAAGCCTTCGACGTTCTCTCTCTGTCCTCTTCCGTCCCACTCGTTGGGCATAGTGTTTGATTCCATCGTTGATGGGTTCTTGACTGTTTATTCTGATCACGGCACGTCGGGTTTGATGGTCAAATCGCTTGACCTTGAACACGAGTGGACCAAACACCAAACAGACGACCACAAAATCATTCATAAAGATAGCCACACTGCGTACCACAAAGTTGGCGACTGGGTCGGACCCCAGAACCAGCAGGATGGGAGCGGCACAGAGCAGAATCTGAAAGTTGGAAACCATTGCGATGCCCACAAACTTGCCATTGGACACTCGATCAGGAATCTTGCGCGAGACAAAGCACATGTAGCATGCCCCCGACAAGAGGAGCAGATGAAACACGGCAATGATCCCCGCAAAGATGGCCCAATGCTCAGAACCACAACTCCCCACGCTCTCGAGTGCATTACCAAATTGATCTTCACTAATGATTTGCCGGTTCCAGCGAAGAGGATCCACGACACTCCACACGACCAGAATGGACACATCAATGAGAAGAACTCCTCCCACAATCTGCAACGTTTCCATGACGGACACTCGGACTCGCTTCATTTGGGCGGCTGACTTGACGAGAATGTAGACTCTGCGGATGCGGGCAAAGAGCGCTCCAAAGGTAATACAAAAGCCCACACTGTATCCCCATGGAATTGCCATGCAAGCATAGACAGGTCCATCTCCGGCATCTTGTTGTGCCATGTCAATGATTGTAGAAGTGGATATCAAGCATCCAAGGAGGATTAGACTGAGGAACGAGGGCTGTGCCATTTGCACTTGCGCTCTCCGTCGTTGCCAGCACAACCAGACGGCACAGAATAGGACGAGACAAACGTTGATCCCCGCCAAGGCATAGCCCGTCCTCACGAGTGACTCTGGAATGAGGTTGAGCTCTTCGGGTACTTCCATGGAACAGTCGAACCCGGTCCATTTGGTCGAATGACAAATGCACGCCCCCGTGGCATCGGCCGTGCCATGGTCCGGGTCACAGGGGAGTTCACAGTGTTCCCCGGCAGTCCCATGGGGACACGTGTGTTTTTCAAAGTACGTCTTGTAGAGTTGGTCCATGGTGGCATTCCCAATGGCTCGATACATCCATTTCTTGATCAGCTTGGCCACAAGTGGCGGCAAGTCCTCTCTCATGGGCCACATGAGATATTGCGAATTGAACTGTTCCCGAGTCAGCTCTAGAGATGGATCCACGGCAGCACGGTATCGCAAAGCCAGTTCGTCGTCGACGTAGAGCACGCATTCTTCGTTCTGGAGCGCTTGAAAACAATCTTCCAGCGAGGGACACAGTGTGTAGTTGGCCTGTGGAAACCGTGCTTGTATCACGGTTTTGATGTAGGTCCCATCTTGCACACACACGGTGGCTTCCGCGGCTGCCGCATCCGCCAAAGTGGTAAAGTCTCTCGACTTCTTGTCGAGATACTTGACGGTGGACATGGTGGTGCGCAGCCACGCCGGAGTAAAGTCTGCTCGCATGGATCGTTCGTCGGTGCCGTAAAAGTCACCCACGATGAGGTCCAACTCGTCGCAGCGACTGCTGTTGTTGATTGTTGCTATGGTGTGACAGTCGCTGGCTACGAGATCAAAGGCATCGGCGTATTGGGTGGGGGATTGGGAAAGTGTGAATTCCAGTGTGACATTGTCTTGTGCGGCAAACGCTTGGAGCCGGTGCAACATGTCCACTTGAAAGCCACTAAACTTGGTAGTGCTAGTACCAGTTGTGGTGGTATCTACCACGGCAAAGGGAGGGGCATGCAACACTCCAGCACGCAAGGAGATGACGGAGGGTAGCATGAAAGAAGAAGCAGAAGAAGAAACCCATAGAAGAGACAACCAAAGCACTACCAGCCGTAGAGCACGGGAAATGGAATGGCTCGCCCTCATCTTCATGGTCAGTTTGAAAGAGGAAGGCCGCAATCAAAAATGGGACAGCTCTTCTTGCTGTGCAAGGATCAATCACTTCTTTCGTTGTTTCTGTTTTGTTTCAAGTTTTTTCTAACCATTGTGGTTTCTAAGTTGGGTCATTGGTCATAAGACTTCACTTATTCACTTAACACTGATAGCTAAACAGTGACCTTCACTAGGTCCCAGTATCATGCCTTCCATAAACCACAAACGTTGCTAAGGTCTTATTACTGTTGCGGGACGGCAAGTTGTGTGCTGGCATATCCCAGTTCACTGAAGGTGATCAGACGAGGCTTTCGGTCACACTTCCCAGCCGTACAAGCTGGCTGGCTGGCTGGCTGGCTGGCTGGCTGGCTGGCTGGCTGGCTGGCTGGCTGGCTGGCTGGCTGGCTGGCTAGCTAGCTAATTATTCATTAAAAAGTCTGTGGCAAATCCCTGGGATTGAAAAGGGACCGTGACTCAGTACTAAGGGGGGTTTTAGAGTAGGGAAATTATCTACGGAAGCCAGCCGGGGCCAGGCTTAAGCAAAGAACAGTCGAAATTCAGGACTAGGTTCTGTGGGATCAGGGGCAAGAAATTGAGGACCATTACGGGGGGCAAAGGGTTTGGCTTTGCGGGGATCCACGGAGACATAAATGGGTAGCTTTCACAAGGGCAATTGAGATACGGTTCTGCATGAAGAACATCATTTGAGAGTAGGAAATTGAGTTTTGGAGGCAATAGCAGAAGCAAGGCGTTGTAAGAGAGTCTTGGCTTGAGGGGCAATCATGCCATCCACTGAAACAACAAAGGGGTGGAAGGAAGCACGATTGGACTCGCACGCATCTTTATATTTGGAATTTTTGTCGCGTTCTTGTTGGGTTAAACCTTTGACGGGATCTTTGTTACGGTAAGAGGCACAGTCCAAATCAGAGACACGTACGTCAATAATAGCTGTAGTACCTCGTTCAAACAAGACGCGAATGGAAAGATCACCACGTAAGAGCTCGGGAGCTGGAGGGGGATTGAGAGGGGGGGTAGGGAAGGAGGTAAGTAGAATTGGGTGACCGGCAGGGATGGTAGGGGCGGGAACAGATAGAAGGGGTGGTTCGGATTGGAAGCTAGAGGAACCAAAGCATTCAAATGCAATAGAACCAAGTTCATTGCGGATTTCATTTTATGGCGA